TGTTCAGCATCTTAGCTGTGGAGGGCAGTGTCACTGGCCCTCCTATGTGGGATCCGAACCGGGGCCCTCTGGCATCCCAAGCGAGTTCTTAACCATCGCGCCACTCGGCCGGCCCTGAAATTGCCAATATTTAACATTGGAGAGATTTCATGTAAAGATCTAGATTTTAGTCATTGTAATTTTTTGTGAGAAAAGCAGTAAGTGAAGTGTATGCATGAAAAATCTACCATCATTGAAAATTTTTCAGTTTTGGTATTTCATTTTTTTAAATATAACTGGAGTCTCCAAAAAGGCAGTGTGTCCAGCTCACTCTTGACGTCTGAGAGGCTTTGATGCTGACTCCAAAAAAAAGCCCATTTCATCCGACTAGACAGTAAGCTCCTCAAAGTCAGAAAAAACTGTCTTATTCTTCCTGGTATATCCATGATGACTAAATACATGCATTTGGTGAATATTTGCTGACAGTATAGATCATCAAGAAATGATGGGGTAGGGTGGGAAGATTACGTGATATCCAAGAGGAGGTTATGGGAGGGAAAGAGAATAAATTCTAACACAGATGCTTTCCTTTCCTTCTGATCTCGCCCCCACCCCAACACACACACACACACACACACACACACACACACACACACACACACTTTTTTGTTGGTCTAGTCAGGAAGATTTCTGTTGATGTAGTTCACTAATAGATGCTAACTTAGATGAAATGTGTCAACTGATAGACAATAACTCTTGGTTGAAAATGGAAATGTTCTCTAGATCTTGACCAAGAGAAGGTCAGCACGGTGTTTTTCCCACACTCTGGGCCTAACAGAAGCTTCCTTTTACCACAGGAAAAGAAGCAGTCACTTGTCTAATCAACCAGTAGAGTTAATGAATGTGGCTGAAGGAAGGAAGAGGAAAGATGAAAAGAGGAGCAACTGAGACATTCTTTATGAGAAGAGACTCTCCTACAAATGCCTCCATCAGGAAAGACAGGTAAGGCCTTTTATAAGGCCTTGTGGAACTCCTGGAATACTTTGTCATTATAACACTTTGCTAGTATGAATGGATTCGGTAAAGAGAATGGATGCCTAGCTCTTCTATTGTGAAGTAACAAGTGAACCAATTTGGAAACAGAAAGTTAAAGGGAACTGTCATGGACTCCTGCCCACTCATTCCTTCCTCCTGCCTTTTCTCCTGTCCTTCCCCCTTCACCTGTGAGGTCTTCACCCCTCCCCTCTGACTACCTCAGTCTTGCATAGTCTCTGAGATCCAAGCAAGTTCCATGCTTCCACGAGTACTCCAGAGTCCCCCTTCCCCTGGACTCCTACAACACATCTTCTGTGGGCTGCACAATTCCTACTAGATGAAGCATATTGTCTTTGAAAGGTTCTTATATGTGTATCTTATGAAACCCCTTGTAAACTCCTCAAGGACAAGGGCCGTTTCTTCTGTGGCAGCTACATCTCCCACAGTGCTGACGGCCTAAATGACCCTCTGTTTGGCCTCACTGACTGAAAGGTTCAGTTCGGCTCTCTTGTTCTTGCCAGGAACGCAGAGTGCACAATAACGTCCTTTCACTACAAAATAACAAAGTCAAAGATAGAGGGGCCGAGAAAGTAACTCACACAGAATTACTTATTGTCTTGAATGCCTCATGGTAGCCAGATCCCAGAATCCTCAGGTTTGATAGATGTGGAAATAACTTCAATATATGTGATGGTGCTTTTGGATTACTGTCTCACTTGGATGGAATGTGTAAACTAATAAATAAAAACATGGGCTACATGAGTCAGGAAAAGGGAAGATTTTCTGTTATGCAGTTAACTGATATTCCCCAGAGTTCTTTTTTCCCCCCATTTTAATAGCTGCTAGGCATTTATAATATTGCTTTTCATATTTCTGATAACAATTCTGCTAAAAGAGGGGATGTGATTAGGGGAAGAAACAGGAGAGAAAGATTCACATTGCTTTATTTTAATCATTGACTGTCCCAAAACTTTTAGGGTCTACACAGCAATCAATAATTAGGAAAGAAAGATGGATGCACACTACTTTGAATTCTGGGTCTCTCCTCTGCCATGGTAATTTTTTGGGTATCATGCGCTCTTTACAGAATCCCATCTTATGACACAGATACAGTTTGCAATTCTTATGACACAGATACAGTTTGCAATTCCTCATAATGCCTAAATCGTCTAAGCATTCAGTATATCGAGGTTCATGAGAATTGCTAATTGGCCTTGTGAAACTGTAGCAGTGCCTCCCAGGGATCTAAAAGTGTTTACACCCACCCACACAGTACCACGAGGAAAATGACTGTGCTGGCTTGGTTTTCTTGTAACAGTCCAGTGACACGGCCTTCTCATTGCCTGTGAAATACATTTTAAAAATCTGCTCCAGAATAAGACTAGACTTGTGGATAAAAAAAAAATTACCTAAGCTGTTTCTTTCCTAGACAAATGGGATTCTAGTTTGGATATAGCTTACAAAACATGCTGGATCTTTTGATATTTCTACACTAGTAAAACTTGGAGCTCTGACCTATAACATTTAGTACATGATGTTTCTGGGGTATGGAAAAATATGCTCTATCACCTAATGTGATGTCTTTAGCCCCCTGTGTAAATGGTGCACTTTAAAAAACCAAGTCTACTGTGAAATAGATATTTTTTTTATTAGATAATGACAAAGAGATTCTACAATATCAATTAAAGAGACAGCATGTGACTGGGTTTACTGCTGCCCTGTGTCTTGGATCAAGGGAAGGGCTCAACCTAGAAATCATCACCTTTCTTTCTAAGGGACGAGGACATGACCCTGGAAAAAACTTCCGAGTATTTACCCGGCTGGAGATCTGGGCTGTCAGATCCAAATGGTCCCATTGCAATCCTTTTTTCCCGGGTGGTGCGTAGATCTTTCACAAGTGATGAGCGGCCTCTGCTTCTTGTATTCAGGCCGAGGACTGGACTCTGTGACCAGGGATTCGGTGTGCGGGTCCTCACAGGCTGAAGAGAAGTATGAACACATGAGTGCATATGCCAAACATGTGGTCTCATGTGAACAACAGACCCAAAGAGAAGGCTCTTCAGCTATGGTTTATCAGAACAGCTCTATGAACTACTATAATAAATAAGAAAATAGAATCCATGTGTTCAAGACCTGCCTCCTTGGATCCAGTCAGGAGCCTAATGTGGAGAATGCACCTGAACTGCCCATCCAAAAAGGCTTGGGCATCTGTATGGTGATCTTTAGGGTTAGCCTCTGTTTTCTATGCCTTTATTATTATGCAGAAGTAGCGGTTGCTATAGGACACTCTTGTAGCTATGACTAAAGAGCCTGATTCCTGGGATGTGTTAAGGAGGTAGATTCACTCAGGGTGAACAGTCCCTGGGGACACAGCGCTACTCTTATTTCAACCCCTTAAACCAATGTAGTGATGGCCAGAGTAGATTGTACCTAGGTTTAAGCATCCCCAGGAGTCTCAATACAGGTTTCTGTATTATTCCATGGAATAATAATAGGGATATCCCATTATTATATCCCCATCCCCATATGAATTCTCAGCTTAGGGCAAAAGTACAAATAGAAGACCATTTATCATGTCTAAATATTTAAATATTATACATCAAGCTAACAAACTATTAAGTAAAATACACTCTATCACCTACCTTGGCAAGACCAGGCTTGAATTTGGAATTTTTAGATTCCTTGGAGTTCCTTACCAGAACAGGGAGACACAGGAAAGCCGACCTGCAGTCCACCCCTCTTTCCATCCCCAGCTCCATTCCACACTGTGAGGACCTCACCCATACACATGTGGAAACTTCAGACTACACGTCCAACCTCTGTTCACATACCCATCGGCCACCCCTTGAATCTAAGGGCACACACGCTTGCAATGCTGGCCACCTTTGGGAAGACAGACCAGTCCACCTAAGCCCTAAAAATGGGCAAGGAATTCCAGAGTCTTGAATACCCAGAGAGCGTGGTTTATAAGGCAGGGTATGTGTACTAGTAAGGCATGCCCATTTGGCCCCATAGACTCCTTTTCCTAAGTGGAGGCATGTGACCAGAGGTCAGAGCTGAGCCCTCCAAAGCTGAGGCCCCAGGACAGGGGTCCTGCCTGCTCCAGTGTGTCACTGGTTCGATTATTGCTAGCCATCCTGACAAAAAGATTGCCTCACAGGGAAAATCTCCTACTGTCCACAGTACCCACTAAACTGATGATGTGACATGAAGGGTTTATAAGAATGTGTCCTATGGTGCCCCAAACTGAATTGGTAATGGAGGAAAAACTAAGTTTGAAATATACACGACCAGAAGCTAGTTTATGGAAAATTCTAGTTATCACATGTATAAAATTATAAAAGAAGGATTTAGTTCTCACTTAATACCTAGTCAAAAAAGTGCTCTTCTGATAATGCAGCGTTATAAATGCACCATACATTTTTCTTTTGATAGGAAACAAGCAAAATAGAATATATCAGAATTGTGTATATTGTGTGTGTGTGTGTGTGTGTGTACCTCTTCTGTTAAATAAACAGAAAAAAATGTATTATGATGTCTAATGAATTTAATGGGATTATTTCTGATTTTTATACTTGATTATTCTTTAATTTCAAATGCCTAATACCAGAGTTTGATATATGGCCCACTCACACATTTGCAGAAAGAATACTATTCCTCTTATATTTCTTGTTTCACAAATAACATAATTTCAGCTACATATTATACTTCATTATTGCTAGTTAAATAATAAGAACCAACCTTTATTTATTATTTTGTTTTTAATTAGTTTAAAAAATGGATAAATCAATTAAAATGGACCATTTTAATTTTGACTTTCGAGATGTATTCCTCTATTAATTATTATATTATACTCGAAATGAAAAATGAAGTCATGATAAAAAAAAAAGTAAGTCTAACCTGCACACGAATGTTTGTAGCAGCTTTATTCATAATCACCAAAAACTAGAAGCAACCAAGATGGAAAAACCAACTGTGGTACATCCATACAATGGAAAAGTATTCAAAGATAAGAAATGAGCTATCAAGCCACAAAAAAAAAATGGGTGAACCTCCTTAAATAAGCATTGCTAAGTGAAAGAGCCAGCCTGAAAAGGCTACATAATATATGATTTTAATTATATGAATCTGGAAACACAATACTATAGACATAATAAAAAAGACCAGAGATAATGTTAATGTCAAGTTCCTTTGATTTTTTAAAACAGGAATCATGTTGATTTTAAAAGAAAACAGAAGAGCAAGGCAAGCAATGATTAGAGACCAGGAAAAATGAGATGAGTTAGGGAAAGTTAAGTTTGTGGTTTAAAAAACACCATATTTTTAATTGCAGAAGTGATACATGTTCAATGTAGAAAACCCAGAACATAAATATAACCAAAGAAGAAGAAAATAAAAATAACCTGGAATCCCATCATCCAAAGGTAACCACTGTTAAATTTTGCGGTGTCAAGACTCCCAAACTTTTTTCAGTAGTATATATGAATAGATTACACACATATATATCCCCCAAATGGGATCCTACTGTAATACTTATTGTCTGCTTTTTTCCCCACTCATGATATATTAAGAACATTATTCCATGTCATTAAATTGTATTTCTGAAAATGGTTATTAATAGCTGTTTTTGTAGTGAGAACTAAATAGAGCCACAGGAAAAGTGATGAAATTAAAGATAAACCAGGCTCCAAAAGGTGCCTCCCAGTTCACAAGGGAAACTAGAAGACAGTCAGCCACAATATTCTTTGAAAACAAAACAAAAAAATACTCTTTGAGGAAATCACTAAATGTTGAAAATAAAAAAGGATGAGGTCACAGGAAAGACTGGGAGGAGGAGATATTTGCACAGGATGTGGAAAAGACAAATTTGTAGTCCTCTAGCTGAGCACAGTGTCCCCGCGTTGCGAGCAGAGAAGCACAGCTCATTCCCCAGTTCACTGCTGAATGTGGCTGTTGTATACTGAAAACCACTCTTTGAAAAGGCAATTAAAGCTTCTATAGACAAACTTGACCTGCCTTCTTCTTCAGCAATGGGAATAAAAATGGAACCTATTTCTTCATAGGGTTGTTGTGAGGATAAAATAATGCATGGAAGGCACTTAACAAAGGTCTTTTACAGAGCTAAACACTTAAAAAAATGGTAGCTACAATAACTTATGGAGCAAAGCCCTATAGGACCTATATGATGACTTGTGTGGCATTGGCCTACTTCAGAGGAACTAGGAGTGGGAGAGGCAGAGAAGTTCTTGAATTGTGCAGAGTGACATTGTGGGAGGGTAGATTAGATTAGCTTTGCACATGCTCTGTAGAAGTTCGAGTCAGTGGAGACCATATCTGACAAAGCCATTGTATGAGGTACTGCTCTGCTCTGCTCTGCACAAAGTTACCTGGCCAAGGGCCAGAGTAGGGGCTAATACCAACTGATGTTTTCCTTCTAAGTTCTGTGACCTAGTCTAGGGCTGCAGTGTTTGGAGGAAGCCACAGCAGAGGAGGAGCCCTCTTCCTAATTGACTCCTAAGCTGTGTGTGTGCTGGTGAGGCCTTGATATCAGATCCCCTGGGGAAATGCTCATTTTGCAGATGAGCTTACTGAGACCTGAGAGAGTAATCTGACTGAGCTAATGCCACATATAATAAGTGGGAGGGACTCAATTCTGGTTGGTGCTTCCCATTAAATGCTTCCTGTGCACCTTCTGTGTGAAAAGCAGTGTGCTAAAAGCAAGAGAAAAAGACATAAGGAAATCCTTTCCTTGAAGGATTTTATAGACTAGGAAGTTTAGGAAGAAATATGACAAGTACATTATACAACAATACAGCCACAATGTGCTAAATTCATGTAAAAGGGTCAAAATTCTCTTGATTAGAAAGATGGAAGAGACTTTGAGGAGGATACGGAATGTAAAATGGACTTTAATAAGGGTTTTAACAAAAGATGATTGGGAGGGCCGGCCGAGTGGCACGTTGATTAAGAACTGGCTTGGGATGCCAGAGGGCCCCGGTTTGGATCCCACATATGAGGGCCAGTGACACTGCCCTCTACAGCTAAGATGCTGAACAACAGCTCCACCTGGAGCTGGGCTGTAGTGGGTCGCCAGTGATGGCGTGGGCTGCAGTCCCCTGCTGCAGTGGGCTGCCATAAGCTTCCGTGTTTAGCCAGCAGTCAGCGTGAGCAGCCAGCAGCCGCCGTGAGCGGCCGTCCAGAGGCCGGCGACTGATCTGCCTCGCCCGGGAAGAGCGCAATGATGGTGCCAACTTGGCCAGTGAAGCAACGTCCTCCACAACTAGACTGAAGAACAAAACAGCAGCAACTTGTCTGTTCCCCTTCCCCCAATTCCCCAATAAAATATTTAAAAAATAAAAAAAGAAAGATGATTGGGAGACAGCATTTAGTAGAACAGCATGAGTAAAAGTATGGAGGAGAACACAGGCAAGGAACAGCAAATAGTCTAACTTGTAGAAGTAATGTTTAGGGGAGTTGTGGCTGATAAGGCTGTAATACTATGTGACTTCAGTACCTACCTGAAGGGCTTGCGGTGCTCGATGGGATGCACAGATGGATTTTGGGTAGGGTAATGGCACTTTTGGGGCCACAACTTGATACAGTTAATGTTGCAGCTACCTGTGTTATAAATTAGCATAGGTAGACTAAAGAGACTAGTCAGAAGGCTACTTGTAATTGTGAAAGAAAAGGGGCTATGTAATAAACTTGACAAACTATCAGGGAGCTACATGGTAGACCTGATGAGCTCAGCGACAAAAAGTAACCACACAGGATGGTTTGATCATAAATTCCTAACTGGGCAGACCATGGCAGGTAGTCGATATCCAGGCAAAGGTTATTCTTTATCTTAAGTGAACCCTGTCTATTGTTATGCATCTAGGATAACGTGCCTACGAAATGTCAGAGTAATTTTCTTTTCTAGACCCCTGGAAGGCACAACCCCCCACCCCCACCACCAACACCAGAACACAAGACCACAGAACCCCTCATTGTTATCTTGTTCCCCGCATACCATCTTTATATCCTGTAAAAGTTCAATGTTAACTATCTTGTATCCACCAAAGTAAAAGAAATGTTTCTCCATTTTGCTTTTTATCTAGTCCTAGAAATTTCCCCGCTTTGCTTTCTCCCACCTCCTTAACTGATCACCAATGGATTTCATGTAACCTTCCTTAACACCTCCTCCTTTGATTCTAATGTATAAAATAAGCTGCAAATTTTGCAGAGTATTTTCTCAATCCATTGAGATCTCACTTCTGGCCATGTCCTCAAATTTTGGCTCAAATAAACTCCTGTAAGACTGGACATTCTTTCATTGACACAATAAGCCAGGGTTTCTCAGCCTCAACACTATTGACATTTTGATTCCAATAATTATTCATTGGGGGTTGGGGGGCGGTATTGTCCTTTGCATTGTGGCTGTTTATTAGCATCTCTGGCCTCTATCCACTAGATGTTATAACAGCTTCCTGCCAGCCCACAAACAAAGTGTTCCCTGGGAGGCAAAATCGCCCCCAGTTGAGGATCACTGTATTAGACCATGTGAGAAATAAAAAAGGGTGGATGTGACATATGGTTAGGGATAAAATCGAAAAATTTTGGCAAGTGTTTGGATAGAAGTGTGACTAAGAAAGAGTACTGAGAGAAACAGAACCACAGAAAAGGCTCTAGAGCAGCAGTTCTCAATCTTCCTAATGCCGCGACCCCTTAATACAGTTCCTCATGTTGTGGTGACCCCAACCATAAAATTATTCATTGCTACTCTATAACTGTAATTTTGCTACTTTCATGAATCATAATGTAAATATCTTTTTGTTTTCAGATGGTCTTAGGCGACCCCTGTGACAGGGTCGTTTGACCCCCAAAGGGGCGACGTTGCGCCCCACAGTTTGAGAACTGCTGCTCTAGAGGCCATGTACGCTAATATGCTCATAATTGCTTGCAACATTGTACTTTTTTTTTTGGAGGGAGTTTAGTAAAATCTATCAACAATCACAAAAATTATCTTGTCCTTTGACTCAGCAATTCCATTCCTAGGAATTTATCTTAAATGATTCAAATAAAAACAAGTAATCTTCATATACAAAACAAAAATAGTTACATGAAACAGTGACCACGTTGTTCTTAACAATTGCACCCTTATGCCTTCCACAGTGCCTGTTAAATGAGAGATCCACATTTAAGAAGTTGATTTAAGATTCAAAGGTGAGATTGAAGATTCTGGAGAGAGAAGTTGTAGCTAATGAAACAAAATCCCAGAGGGGGTGAGAAGGGCAGACAACAATAATGCAAGCAGAAAAGTTCATGAATGCTTCTTCAGAGAGAAGGCGACTGTGAGAATTTGTAATGGAGACAAAGAGAAGTTAGGCAGAGGAAATTACATAGAGCATCAATCAATGACGTCATCTGCAGTGTAAAGAGGACCTGGTGGACCCAAAGTTTGAAAGAAATTTCCAAGTTGGCCTGACGGCATTCATTGAAAACAAGATTTGTGCACTTTCCGTGCAAAGCTGCTGGAGAACATGCTCTTCTGAAATGAGGACGTCCTGGGTAACACTGCAACATGCAGAAGACTAGAAGGAATAAAGTAGCCCACTTTCTTTCTCCTTAAGTCCCCAGCAACTTGATTTTTAAATTGCCCGCTAAATATGGAATCCTTGTTAATTTGGCATGGACTCCGCCGCCCCAATGTGAACCCATGCATTTAAATTAAGGTACTTTTGCTCACAGGGCGAGCGAAAGGCGCAAGGCTGAAAATGGTGGGCGTGGCCAACTCTGAGGCGGCTGGAGGCCCGCCCCCTTCCCAGAGTACACTGCAGCCGCGGCGTGCGTGAGCCTTCTTTGCGTGCTGCCGACCGGCTCCGAGGAGGGCTGGACCATGGACGGACCCCGAGCTGGTGCGGGGCTGCTGAGGCGCGGGCGGCTGAGACGCCGGCGCCAGCCGCAGCCACACAGCGGGTCGGTGCTGGCCCTGCCCTTGAGGCCCAGGAAGATCCGAAGGCAGCTGAGAAGAAGTGTTGCGTCCCGCATGGCCGCGCTGAGGGCCCAGACGCTGCCAAGCGAGGACTCGGAGGACTCGAGGGTGGAGTCGACAGTGGACGATCTGGGGGACTCGCTGCCTGGTGGAGCGGCGGCCACCCCAGATGCAGCCCGGCGAGAGCCGTACGGCCACCTCGGTCCTGCAGAGCTGCTGGAAGGCTCGCCCGCGGCCCGCTCCCTGCAGACCCCGCCGTCGCGTTTGGTGGAGGCACAGACCCCGCCGTCGCGCCTGGTGCCGGCTTCCGTGCCGCCCGCGCGCCTTGTGGAGGTGCCCGCCGCGCCCGCCCGCGTGGTGGAGAACGCGGCCCTGCTGTGCTCTGCGCAGCACTTGGCGGCTGCCACACCAGCCATGGCCCCTGCGACGCTGTCGGGGCCGCAGGTGGATAGCACCGGCGGGGAGCTGACCTGGGACTCTCCGCTACAGCGCGTCTTGGCGGAACTGAACAGCATCCCCAGTAGCCGGCGGCGAGCTGCGCGCCTCTTCGAGTGGCTCATCGCGCCCATGCCACCCGATCATTTCTACCGGCGCCTGTGGGAGCGGGAGGCGGTGCTTGTGCGGCGGCAGGACCACACCTACTACCAGGGTCTTTTCTCCACAGCCGATCTGGACTCCATCCTGCGCAATGAGGATGTGCAGTTCGGCCAGCACCTGGACGCCGCACGCTACCTAAACGGGCAGCGCGAGACCTTGAACCCGCCAGGCCGCGCCCTGCCCGCCGCCGCATGGTCCCTGTACCAGGCCGGCTGCTCGCTGCGCCTTCTTTGTCCACAGGCTTTATCGACCACCGTGTGGCAGTTTTTGGCTGTGCTCCAGGAGCAGTTTGGAAGTATGGCAGGTTCCAACGTTTACCTCACGCCCCCCAACTCGCAGGGCTTTGCCCCCCACTACGACGACATCGAGGCTTTCGTGCTGCAGCTGGAAGGTAGGAAACTCTGGCGTGTCTACCGACCCCGGGTCCCGACTGAGGAACTGGCCCTGACATCCAGCCCCAACTTCAGCCAGGACGACCTTGGTGAGCCGCTGCTGCAGACCGTGCTGGAACCTGGAGATTTGCTCTATTTTCCTCGGGGCTTCATTCATCAAGCCGAATGCCAGGATGGAGTGCACTCTCTGCACCTCACCTTGTCCACGTACCAGCGCAATACCTGGGGCGACTTCCTGGAGGCCGTACTACCTCTGGCTGTGCAGGCTGCGATGGAAGAAAACGTGGAGTTTCGTAGGGGTCTGCCCCGAGACTTTATGGATTACATGGGGGCCCAGCATTCGGATTCTAAGGATCCGCGAAGAACTGCTTTCATGGAGAAGGTGCGGGTCTTGGTTGCCCGCTTGGGACACTTTGCCCCTGTTGATGCTGTGGCTGACCAGAGAGCCAAAGATTTCATCCACGATTCTCTGCCTCCTGTGCTGACTGATAGGGAGAGAGCACTAAGTGTTTATGGGCTCCCAATTCGCTGGGAGGCTGGAGAGCCTGTAAATGTGGGGGCCCAGTTGACAACAGAAACAGAAGTGCACATGCTTCAGGATGGGATAGCTCGGCTGGTGGGTGAGGGAGACCATTTATTTCTCTATTATACAGTGGAAAACTCGCGCGTTTACCATCTGGAAGAGCCGAGGTGCTTGGAGATATACCCCCAGCAAGCTGATGCCATGGAACTCTTGCTCCGCTCCTACCCAGAGTTTGTGAGAGTAGGGGACCTACCCTGTGACAGTGTGGAGGACCAGCTTTCCTTGGCAACCATGTTATATGATAAAGGGCTGCTGCTCACCAAGATGCCTCTTACCTGAACTAGTTTCTTGTTGATTGCTGGAAAGAAGACAGCAGTGTGATTCCTACCACCACCCCATCTGTTTTTTGGAAAAACTCACGTTCTTACCTTGATAATCATCAGTGTGCTCACATTTACCTTTATGACTGCTTCAATGTCACAAAGCTCAGATGGTCTTCTAGGAACCACCACCTCATCTAGGCACAAAAGTAAAAGAAGTTGGAGGTGGAAAAAAAGGAGCTATTTCTGCAGAAGTAACCTTGATCCCTGATCATTTCAGAGTACCGGCTTCATTATCACCCGCAAGCTTTAGTGTACTGTGTAGCACTTACTGTATCATTCTGCTTGAGACATTAGAAGTTTTTATTTGGAATTTGCATCCTTCATTTGAGTTCTCTTTCATCAGTTTGGGGGAGGGTTGGGGTCAGTATCCTGTGTGTTATTGTGAGTTTGTATGAATGTTAGAAAAGTTATTAAAATGCCAAAGAATGTTTCCCTTTTTAAAGGCTAGATTATTATGTGGCATGGCTTGAACGAATGTGGGAGGAGAGAGGAAGATTGGGAAAATCTATAATGGCTGAGGTGAAAGGTAACTTGGGGGTAGTTGTAGGATTGGGGCCAGTTCTATAACTTGTGGGGGTAATTTATTCATTTTAATCATGCTACTTGAACCCCAAACAGCACAATCCTATTAGAAAAGTTATGATAGATCTTAAAAAGTATGTTATGTTTTTGCTCAGTGCTTGCTTGCATCAGTGGCTGGCACAGCTCCCAAAGAGGCAGGCAGCATGTCTCCTAGTTGTGCTATCATCATAGGCCTCAGTCAACCATGAGGGAAGGCTGGTGTTCAAGTTACTTTCCACTCTCATTTTTTTCTGGCAGTTGGAAGAAACTTCCCCATATCTGGCAAGTGAATATTCTCATGGTGGTGGAAAAGAGCCTGGTGTACCAGAGAGAGCACTGGACTTGGAACCAGAAGACCTGGGTTTGGGGTGGTGGCTGGTAGGCAGCTGGCTGAATGACCTGAGGCTGCTGCTACGCCTGGGCACACAGATTTTGTAAGTATATATTGGTACAGCTTGATGTCTCTGCACCTCATCATTTAGGTTATATTTGGAACTTTTAAAATCCTATCACCATAACTTATAGGTTCAGTTATATAAGGTTGAGAACTTTATAAAGTCTTTCTTTTAAAGTTGCAAAACTATAAATGTACATAAAATAAAAATGATAGCTCTCCCTCCAACCCCACTTTCCAGAGGTAACCAGTATCAAAGGTTAAGCCTACATGGCTTTTTTGGGGTGCTTTTACAGTAGCTTTTTGTTTTGTTTTATACTTACTTTCTTCTAATATGTTATTTTTTTACCTAACTTTCAAATCAGTTCAAATAAAGCTCCCTCATTCATTTCTCTTTTTTAAGGAACAAAATAGCAAATAAATAAAAGCTGGGGGTGGGGGCAGGGGGACAGGAGGAAAAATAACAGGAAGATTGAGAAGATGGTGCCCAAGAAAGAAAGGAGGCAGCCTTTCCTGGCTCTCATCCTAAGGGCTCACAGTTAAGTCCCAAAACATCCAGCCAGATCCTGGAAAAGGCTTGTTAAAAGTTAAGGCCATAAGGCTCAACCCCTAGAAAACCTACCCCGAAAAGTTTCTTGAAGAAAAGTGTGGAATTTCAGTGGTTTTTGCCCTTCTTTGGGTTGCAAGTAAACATGTTTTGTTGTCTCCTTCATTTTTCTTATTTCTGACTCAATCTTGAATATTCTCTGCGTTAGCAAGTCCTTTTGGCTTAGTGTTTGAATCTAGATCAGAACAAATGATGTTGAAAAAAACAACTGCACTAGGCTGTAAATCATCAAAAAGCATTAATAAAGTAACTTATTGCATCGTCCTTATTAGTATTACGTGGTACATAAACGCCTGAGAGCGTTGTTCTCTTGTGATATTGGTTGGACATTTTTACACCTGTTAATGAAAATTCTATTTTAGCTTTTTGGGCATGATGAAAGTAATCTGCTAGTAAATGCTTGGTGTGGAGCTGATTTTGAGAATTATGGAAGCAAGAATGTTTTACATATTTAAAGACTTTTTCCTTCTATTCCTTCATCTCCTCTAATAACTTTGAAAAATTAGAACTACCTATTCAGCTAGAGTGGGATTTTTTGTTTGTTTTTTGGTGAAAGAGTGCAGATTAGGAACTAAGGAAAGTTTAGAAGGAATAAGAAAACCTAGGAGGCCAGCTCCAATCTCTCATTCCTTTTTTATGCCTGTCTGCAAAAGAAAAACTTGGGTTTAGGGAATGGTGGGGAGAAAATGGGAAGGGAAGGAAACAATATTTCAGAAACAACAAACCCTGATTTTGAAGAGCCTACTTGATAGAACTAATAGGATTGTTGTTTTGTCTTTTTATCAGGATTTTATAATCCTATCTTGCACAGATGTTTTGTATCTTCAAATGATATGGTATCTCTGTCTAGGATTGTAGAAAGAATTTCTGTGATGGGGAAAAGAGTATGTACATGCTTAAGGGGAAAAGGGGTCTGAAGAACTCTTGAGACCCCTGAATTTTCTCTTGAAAACACAGCTTGCACTTATCTACCCTGTTCTTGATCTCCTGAACCATTTCTTGGTTTCCTTCATCTTCTATGTTGAGTATCTTCATTGCCTGGTAAATTTCCCTGAAAGATAAGAAGGGCTTCTTAGTTTGTTCTTCCCATCCTTAAAAAAAGTATGGGGCTGGAAAATAATGGACTTGGAATCAGACAAGAATCCTAAATCCTAATCCTAGCTATGCAGTTTTGCTGAGCCTTATGTGCAAAAATGGTATGATGCTTAGTTTACAGAGGTGTTGTGTAGTTTTTGAGATGATACATATATATTTTTTAAGTTGCAGAAAAGGAGTTTATTAGAAGTAAAAATACATTTCAAAGAAGCAGAAGCGAGAGAAAAAGTAGAGAATGGCTCAAGGGCCATAATTAGAAAAGAAAGTACACTCCAAAGAGTTTGAAGCGGGCCCCGAGCAAAGGCAAGGCTCAAAAGGCCTTGAGATGATATATTTGAAGATACTAATAGGTACAATTTATTGTACATCTTTATGACAGGTACTAACCATGCTATCTCATTAATCATCACCACAAACACATAGATAGACTTATCATCTGCATTTGTTATATGAAAAAAATGGGCTCAGAGTTTAAGTAACTTACCCAGGCTCACATAACTAATGTAGGCCTGATCTGGAATTCAAACCCTGGTCTTTTTATTCTAAAACCTGTTATCACAGTAGGCACTTGATAAATGTTAGTTGAATAAATGAATAACTTAAAACCACTGGATGGACAATAGGTACGTGAACTATATAAGCTTGACTTTCAATCTAATTTAGGTCAGTTTTTCTGTTACCCACTTGGGCAAGTAGGCAAATGGCCCAGGTGAGCTTGTGCTTTTACAGCCATTAGGCAGCCTGGAAAGGCAGGGATGTACTCTGTTAACAAGGGTAGAGAGTTGGCAGTGCAGCAGGTCGTGGAAGGAACTAGAAGTTTAGTGCTTACTTTAGAACAGCATCATGGTTTTCTAGGAGCAGCACGTCTAGGAAGGTCTCCCTGACCCGGTCCCCTTGAAGTTTGAGGGCTAGGATGCTACGGCAAGCTTCTAGTCGTACACCTGGTGACTTTTCATAGTGGATAGCCCAGAGCAGGAGATCTGTCAGCTGGGGACTCACTTGGCCAATCTGTCCCAGAGCTGCAGAGATCAGAGGACAGCATGTTCCACTGTCATTTAAGAATGAGCTGGCGGCTACATCCTAGCCTCCAGAAATGTCCTTAATAAATAATAAGGTGTAGTCCGCCACCGGCTGTATTAATTATTGCAAATGCTAAACTAAGTCTTTATTTTGTTTGTATCTTCCTTTTTAAATGACAGTCATCATTAGAATTTCAGGAATGGGTTTGAGGAGGACATCTCCAAAGGATTTCCAGGAGGGGTGTTTCATCCCATCTTTGCCAGTTTACCTATATATGTAGGGATGAAATATGGGACAGATAACTCAGAAGACCATCCTAGTCAAAGCAGGGTGATGGGGAAAGGAGGCACAATTACTTCACAGGTTTACCTAGAGCTGATCCTTCTGGGGACCTGCCAGAGACTGTCAGACAGAAACAATGCCTAAGATCCTTAGAAGGAAACTAGGAAAATTTGATGGTAGGGTTTTAAGTCTGTAACCATCTTGAATGTGATCTGACCTTATAAAGTCCTATAGTTGAAGCCTCCAGAGAAAGCCGGTGTATTCAACAGTGGATACCTACTTGGAACTGGATAAGACAGTTAATAGGGACTGTCTTATCAGTCCTTTGCCTTAACAAGTTTAACATTGACCTAGACTCAGGATCCTTAACTAAAAATTAAAAAGAAAAAAATCTTGACTTTCTCAGGAAGGAACTTCTGAGTAGGTATATGATCATCCCCTCCCCTATACTCCGCCCCCTTCCTAGAGAGTCTGGGGATCATCTGTACTAGCATGTGGGAAGGTATTTGAGGTTGAGTTGCTGGGGCCACTCTGTCCTACCTCGAATGGCAAAGGCCTTGATTTTCCAGTAAGGATCTCTCTGTATCAGATTCAGAAGGCATTTAAGGACCTGGGATAGATAAAAGGCAGGGTTGAATGAAGAGGACCAGAGCAAGAATGAACCAGAGACCGGGACCCCTCTTGTCTCTAAAATGTACTGTAACTAAAAAGTGACAGATCGTGTCAAAGTGACAAATGAGCTGGAGCCTGAAGCACTAGCCTGTACACATAATATATTAGCTGAAATATCTTACGTCTGTAAATTGATTTTTCTCAGCTCACAGGTCTATGTATGGCCTTGCAGGCTTCTTTTGAATACCTCCATCAGGTTTTCCCCTAATAACATGGGATTATAGCTCCATTCACTGGAGTTGAACCTGAAGCCCACAACTGAGGTGAGAACAGGATTCAGGGATTTGCTCTAGAGTGAAGTGGGATGTCTGGGAGCTAAATGTGGTCCTAAGTCCTAACTGATTGGTGTGGCCTATATACCCCGCCACCTTCCTGGTTCTGATCTCTCTGTGTTCCCACAGAATGGTGAATGTACTATGTACAACAAGGGAAGCCCTTTACTCGTTAATCAGGTAAGATGGGAATGTTTCCTTGACTCACCATCGTGTTACGGATCTGCAGGGCACCTGCTGCCAAACAGGCTGCCCGCCGAACTGCCATGAAGTCATCAGAGAAGCAGTTCAGGAAGTTTGGGAGAAGCTTGGCGGTCATGAGCTTGAGCCCACCAATCAGGGACAGGGCTTCCACACGCTCTTGGGAATTTCCTTGACCCAGCTTGATTCTATAAGGCACAGGTGATTTTATTTTTCCTCCTTAAACTTTTGGGGATCCCACCCCTCACCCTGCACTAATGCCCTCAGGATAAAGTCCAACCTCTGCAGGCTCTCCATTATCCATTCCCATTCTTTGCTAGTTGGCCGTGTGCCCATGAGGTTAAGCTTCACTGGTTAGAGATGTCAGCTGTTTTATTTACTTGAATCCCTATTTACCTAGCATGTGCTAGGCACTAAACTATGTTGAATGAGTATAAGGAAACTTTCAGCATGCACCCCTTACTGCAGTCAAGTTCTCTTCACTGCCTTCACATCTGCCATGCTCATTTCTGCATTTGGCTCCCATCTTGGAATGTCTTTTCTTTTCCTCCCTGCCAATGTAGTCTTATCCATCCTCCTTTAAATTTGACCTTACTAGATTTTGCCTGTGTAATCAAAATCATGTCATACTTTTGGATGTTAGGGCCTGGCCCACAGTCACATAAGCTAGCAGGCAGTCAAGGTCTCCTGGCTCTTTGGGAACACTGCTTATCAGACAGCCAGTTCTGTGCACTGACCAGCAGTCAAAGTCTCCCAGCTTCTTGGGACGTTGTGTGCATGGGAGTAGGCCAGCAAGGCCTGCCAGATGGTTTTTCTCACAGAATGTGCTTTGTTTGCTGTATCTGTATAACCTCGCTTCTTTGCCTGGGTGCGGAGTGCTACCCCTTCAGAAGGCCGTCACCAGAGACTCTCCCCAGTCTGTAAGTCTCAATAAACCTATGTCCTGCACTCAGCCACCTGGTGTGTTCTTTGGGCTTGTGGCTTCTTGGGCACACATCTTGGAATAACTGGGACTCAGTCCTCACAGGACTCTCTCAGACATCTAGTGGGCACTCAATGATTCTTTACCACATTATTATCTGTAGGGACTATTAACTTTTTGTTTTATTAAAAAAAAATAATCCTGCAGTGGAAACTAGTACGATACTGAGCATATAGAGCAGCTCAACAAATGCTGGCTGCTGGCTCCCAGGGCCCCTGGGCACTTAAGAATAGAAACGTTTCTCTCTTACGTTGACTAGGTTTACCTGATTATGTCGTGCACCTCTTTCCCAAGACTCATTTGCCCCAGAGCTTGGGCAGCTGCTTGTCTTACTTTCTTATTCCAGTCACTCCACATCAACTGGATCAACTTACGTTTTATGTCCTATAAATAGGTATAATGATTAGCTACCATTTATTGAACATCAATTTCGTACTTGGCGCTGTGCTGAGAGTTTTTACCCAATCCTCCCAAACAATACAATGAGGTAGATATTACCATTTACAGATGACAAAATGGAGGCTTAGATTTACTTGTCGAAGGTTAACAAATTGAGTGTAGACCTAGGTCTGTTTTCCAAGCTTATGCTTTAAACTACTAAACTGTGTTGGGGCCAATGTAACTGTGCTTGAGAGACAAGGTTTGAAGGTGACACATTAATGGGGTAACCAACTCATCCCAGTTTGCCTGGGATTTTCCTGGGTTTAGTACTGAAAGTCCAGGACAGTTGGCTACGTGTATTATTAGCACTTCACTCAGGAAAAGACAGACTACTACAGTTGTAGCTGATGATTATGTGAATGTCCACGCTATTCTCCCTGCCTGAAAATCTCCCTTTTTCACCCCTATATAGTACTTGATGTTTTCTACTCTTTTAGGATTTATCTCAAAAAGCATCTCCTCAGTGAACAGGATCCCCTCTGTCCTCTGTAAGCACAGGAAAATCCCATAATACCTTACAACTGCTTCTGTTATAGCTACCATATTTCCCCATGTATAAAATGCACCTTTTTCCGAAAATTTTGGGGTCTAAAAACTGGGTGCGTCTTATACAGTGGTTGTATGAGTGCAAAAAAAAACAAGCAGGAAATGCAAGTAAAAAAACCTACCACTGTATAAGATGCACCCAGTTTTTAGACTCCAAATTTTTTGGAAAAGGGTGCATCTTATACATGAGGAAATACGGTATTTATAACATTTACCAAGTGAATATATACTGTCTGCATTCTCAGTGTTAGCATAGTTGCTAGCATGTAGGATGTGGTCATAAACTGCTTGCTTACTGAATGAGCTATGGACGTACTGCCTTTCTTAATTCCAGCTGTCTGATATAGAGTTCTCATCTTTACCCCAGCCCCTGTTTGCTCTACGCATCTTTACTTTCAGTTGGCAATCCTGATTGACAAATGCTAAGGAGATGACTGTAAATAAATCAGATGTTAAAATGATATTGTGAAATGCAGGTTCAGACTGAGTTGACCTAGGTGAGATTTTGCACTTCTTTTTTTGTTGTAGTTTTTGGGGTTTTTTTAGCTGAGCCATCCTGCCACCTGTTGGCAGCTCAGCTGCAGCTCAGCTCAGGCCGGGAATCGAACTGGCGACCCTGTTGCTTAGAGTTTGCCCTCGTGAGTGAGCTCTTAACCAACTGAGCAACTTGGCCGGTGATTTTGCCCTTCTTACAAGCTCCCAGGCAATGGCTGTACTCCTGGTCCAGGACTTTAGCAGCAGGGTACTATAGCAGTTGAGGCAGAATTAACTCAACACTAAAAAGTCTTCAGGTGATTATACTAAATGGCTATATTTTGTGCCTTCCACATCAAAATGCAAGGGTCAAAAAAAAATGCGTTACCATTTTTATGGGAATGGTAACGTTCTGGGCCATTTTGGAGGTACTCAGTGTTATAAGAAAAAGATACAGTGACATAGGAAGAAGGGGGAAATCCCATTTGGACAGCTAAGGTTGATTCAAAAATGATGGTCAGGGTATCCCTTTCCTGGAAGTCCCCCTTCAGTTCTTTCCAAGTCTTGCTCAGCTGTCCCACCTTCCTTCACAGAACTTTAACTGGTAAGTTCAGCCCATACTAGTCTCTCTGAAAAGTTAGGAGAGTACCTTACATTTACATTTATCGCTTGTTCTTGAATCATTTGTGTATTGTTAGTTTTGTTACTCCAACTATAATGTCAGTTTTTTTAAAGTAAGGACTGTATTTTATACCTTCTGTATGTGTGCTGAACACTCAGAGCCAACATAGACACTGATGTAGTTTGATTGTTTGGTAATTTAAGTCAGTGCTTAAACTATCTGTGACGAAGGACTAATTTTTCAGCAAGAAAAATGTCATTGATAGTGAGGCAATGTCAAATTACTATAAAATTTTTTAAACTCTTAGTTTTTTCGCTTATTTCATTGTGGGTGGGTTATGAACAGTTTGTGGACTGCCACCATGCTGATAAGCAGTGGCTTAAGTCACAGACATGTTGGCATTTGAAGGCAATTCTGGGTTAGGAGTAAAAGGTAGCAATGTGGGGACAAGAGATCTGTTTGGTAAGAATGGGATACTAGATAGCAACAAAGAGTGGAAGGGCTCTAGTTTTGCTTAGACTTTGTGTCCTGGAAACAGGAAGAGAAGGCTTACCAAACAGACGTTTCCACAGATCCTCGAGAGAGCCCGGCAGGCCATAATCCGGTCCTTCCATTGACGGCTATTCAGCTCCACAGCAAGCATGGTGTGTATTAGGGTCTGAGGAAATGGAAGCCTTGTATGGATATTCATTATCACTTTTAGAAATGCTAGAACCTCAGAGAACTTTCATCCTAACATGGCATCCAACATAATTAATGTCACAAGTACATGAGATACCCATCCCTAAGAAAGAGTGGGTTTATAAAACATGGAGCACTCTTCCATTAAGCCAACTAACTGCGGGGATCATAAATCAGAGAACAAAATACAGATTTTGTCATCTGAGCAGAAAACTGGGGCCTTCTCTTCCTGACTTTATTTTTATGTGCCTAAATCCTTGTGAGTTTCACATTTCTGCTGAAAGTAAACACAATTGTAGGTTGTGTGGTTTTCTAGGGTAAACTTACAGCAGAAGCACATTCTACGTATCACAACTCTTCTTGCATATGCAGAAACCATCTGCAACCTACTTTTCTCACCTTCCTCTCAGCTAGCTGTTGTCCCTCTAACCTTGTATACACACCTCCACCCAAGTTCAATCACACTTGGTCCACTTGTACCTATGCTTGAGATTTTCCTACCTGCATTTTCGATTCCTTAACATGCACTGACCTCAAAGACCCAATTGTTCCCCCAAACTTGGTTCCTTTTCCTGACCCTGTAATGGACACATACTACCTTCTCACTGAGATGGCTCAGGAGCATACAAGACTGCTGCTCAGTGTCTTCATCCTTCTTGTTGAACATCTGATGGAGGATCTTCTTAATCACAGGGTAAGTGGCTGTACCTTCCAGAGCCAAGCACTGAGCAGCAGCCCAGCTATCCACGTTATTACCTGCCACAGTGGGGTGAAAAAAGGAGTCCGAGATGGCGACCTGATCTCCCCGCAGAAAGAACAGCCTTTGGGTTGGTACCCAAGGCTGCTACCTGCCAGTTAACTCACTTCCCTGTGCTCCTCTCAGTCTAGAAATCCTATCCCATATTTAAATCTTATAAATCTTAATTTAAATGGATCATATCAAGGTTTAAAATGTAGACTGAAAATCTTAACGTGAAAAGTTAAATTCTAAAAGGCTCCGGTTAGCTAACAGCAGTAAGGCACTTCTGGCCTGGCTGAGAGACAGTTGTTCTTCCCCCCAGGGATGGGAAAGTCTGGAGTGAAGGCTTTCTTACGACAGATGAAACAAGTTTGCGAGTGTCTATGCAGAAAGCTCAACCAGTCAGCCAGTTGTCCTTATCTGTCTCCACCCCCTCACCCTTCCACTCCTCCAGCCCTCAGACAAGGAATAGACACATCTCTGAGTAGTTAGGAACCTTGGGCCTATCACTTGAAAGACCTTTTGCTTGTATTCAACAATGCATGTGGACAATGCCTGTAAATTAATGTGCAAAAATGGAAGCATGATATATGTTCAAGTGGTGAGTTTTTCGTTTTCGGGAAGTATTCTTTAATATCGTTACATCATCTTTTCAATGAAAAAAAAAATAGTTGCGTGAAAGGGTGTGGTTTCTAGGTAAATAGAACCATCGATGAAACGCTTAGCCCAGGTACCACTAGGTGACAGTGTATCTATTTTGTAAAAGTACCTAGGAAGAACGAATTTTTGGATGTTCTAACATAAACACAAACCCAGTACAGTAGACATTAGAGCATGGTAGTGAAGAGGAAAGGATTAGGAAAAGCTGATGGGAAGGTGTCCTCTCTTTCCCCCATATACCCAGGTCAGAAGTAACAGATACTCACCCTTCAAAAGGGCAGTCTGCATGATGTCCTGGGCAAGGGGATTATGTGACTGTAGGGCATATTGGCATAGCGCGGCTGCTATCTGCACATTGATATTCTTGTCACAAAGAGCAGCCTCCAGGGCGGGCTGTAGGACCTCTGGCAAGTCCTGGATCGGTGGGGCTTTCACAATCTCCTCATCTGTGATCAAAAGAGAGCTAGGGAAGAGGGTGCTAGTCTCTGCTTTTCTCTGAAACAGCTTCCTTCCATAGCCACATGGTGGCTGACCTCAGTCTCAGTTGCAGGTGCTTACTGCTACTTAATTAGGGTTTAGCTGAGCCCCTACAATGGGCAAGATTCTATGGCTCACTTCTGTGCTGAATATGCCAGTTCCCAGTCTATCATCTGGCCCCTAAGGTGCTGTACTCAAGCCAAAGAAGAATGTTTCCAGCTAGGCTATGGTGACCCTCACCATTAGTTTTAGTGATGAAAAGTCAACCTATTTACCTTATAGATTTTTGCATTTTTAATAATAGCAATTATATTTAGGTAGCACTTTGCCATTTATATAGTGTTTTCCAGTCTCATTCAGTCTTCCAACCTTACTGCAGAGCTCACCTGAAATATGTGCATTTCAGGAGTCTTGGTTTAACTAAACAGTCAGACTCACAAGATTATCATAGGCCACACATGGCACCAATCTGCAGAAGGACATAGGATGGGAGCACAGTTTGCCAACAGGGCAGCATCAGGCGCTCCTTTTGGCCAGAGTTCTTGAGACAGCTTGTATAGCATTCCACGGAGCCTTCTGGAGACAGGCCAGGAGCATGGAATCCATTCTGGATACACGTCTTATGTTCCACAGGAGTTAGTATCTCTTAAACAACTCTGTAGATAAAATTCTAGGGTCCCAAACGGCAGGCACAGTATTCATGGAAGCCCAAAGTATGGTGCCCCCTTGAGGGATTTATATTTCATTTATAATTCTTACTAGTCCAATTGTAACTGATCAGTGAGGGTTCATTTTTATCACAAGCAATGTTGCCTATAAAGATAATTCTGTCCTTATCAGTTTACCAGAGCAACAAGTAGGCATTTAACTGAAGTTCTAATTCTCAAGTAGAAAGGGAAGGGTTTTGTTAACCTTTTGGCCACAATTATCCTCATTTTATAGATAAGGAATTTGAAGCTCAGCATTCACTGACTTCCCAAGAAGTGGCAGAGCTGGACCTGTGACTAAGATTTGAGGATTCTAGTCTGTCTTTTTTATTCCACTGCTATGCCATCTCTTAAGAATGGGCTAGATGGAAATATGTGTATTTCAGGGGAATGATAGAAGTCAATTGAATAGTTCAAGAAATAATGAGTAAGATCATTTTGGGGGGGGAAGGTGTGGGGAGGAAACAAGACAAATCAAAATCTAGACACTCAGCACATGTGAAAGGGATCACAGGAAATGTGTAATTCTGGGGCAAGACAAAGGTGTTGTTTGTAAGTATGTGGAAAATTTGGGAATAAGATTATAATATCTGTTGCTGCCTATTAAAGGTTTTCTCTGTGTTCCAGGCACTGAAAATACATTATCCCATTTAATACCCAAGGAAATAAGCAGTTATAGTTTTTTTGTTTTTTGTTTTTTATGTACATGTGTGGACACATATAGCAGGGACCCCAAACCAAGTCTGGGTGGAGGGACAGGGAAGACTCCTCAGAAGAGGTGACACCTTAACTGAAAACTGAAGGGCAAATATAATCAGGTGAAGAGAAAGAGGAAGCGTTTTCCAGCAGAGGGAGCAGCACATTTGACAACTTGGAGGGAAAATGCCCATATCTGGAACTCAATAGACAGGAAATAAGTGAAATGAAACTTTAACTACCTGACAATTCTGTAGAGTTAAAATTAGTCCCTGCCCTTAAAGAGTTCCTTGCCGGTAGGGATGGCAGAGAAGTAAACTGATAATTATGACAGAGTGACAAATATTAGAATAGGAATAATATTAGGATGCTACCAGCAGCAGAGAAGGAAAAGGTATCAGCCCATATAAAAGGTGATATGTCAGAGGGCACTTAAAGGATAAGTGAGAGTCAGCTGGTTTTATGTCATTAGCATTTATAGTTTCCATTATTGGGGTTCTGTGTCTTGTTAAAACAGCTCCTCAGTAGGTTACAGTTCTGTATTAGTACCTGTTTTCGCTAACCAAAGGGAATCTGAAGAAGATTTTCACTTTTACACACTATTACGGTACTAACGCAGGTCTTCTGTAAAAGCAAAGTGGCATAACGGGAACTTTCATAAAGTGGGGGATAACTCTTCGCTTTACACCACTTCGGCCTACAAAGGGTTTGATAGGAACGCTCTGCTTTTGGATAGCAGGGGGAAACCTGTCCATAGTATTCTCAAGTCCGTCAGTCTGGCTCTCACCTGAGTCCCCCTCGCTGATGGCAATCCGGGGCCGTTCTAAAGCAGCTGTGGCACATGTGACAATGGCTTGGATCCGAATGTCATCATGCATGTCCGCCAAGCTCCGCAACAGACCCTCTATTGTCTCATGGTGCCACTCGATGACTATGCCGCAAGGAGGGAAATGAGAAGAGAACCACCTGGTTAGGGTTAGATATTGAGCTGCAGGCATGTGACAAGTCCCCTTCCCCCCAGGACAATTCAAGCAAAACATTAGCTCAGAAAAATAAAGGGCCCCAGAGATGAGATCTTTGGGGAAGTTATTTCTCTGATCATCCATGTACCCTATTGGTCAGTTCCCAAACAAAACTACCCCCAATCCCATCCTATAATCTCTCTCTCTTTGCTTAAGTAACTCTTCATTGTTACCATCTGGAAAATAAAGGGCAATAAAACATAGTGGTTAAGGGCACTTTTTTATCAGACATACCTGGTTTGGAATCACAGTGATTAGCTCTGTGACCTTGGATAAGTTACCTAACCTGTCTGAGCTTGAGATTTTTCACTTGTAAAATGGGAATAATACTAGAACTTACCATATTGAGTGACTGAGTGTTAAATGAGATACCTGGACAACGTTTAGCAAAATAAATGGCAATATAATAAGGGCTCAAATGTTCATGATTGTGGTTATCATCAGGTTTCCTTACCTTTGAGGGTTCTTCCGTCTGGCTTTCAAGGCCTTCCTCATTTTATTGATAACTGCTCTCTTTGCAGTTATCGAGCTTTTATTTCACTGCTTCCACCATCTGTAGTTGTTCCCGACTAGTAGCCTTTACTCGGTATCTCTTTTTCAACCCTTTTTGTTTATCTGATCCAGTTTACAACATGGCGCGCCTCTTTCCTGCACTGACTAAACTCATGTCTCATGTTCTGAAAGGCAGCAGCCCCTGAGTCCTCCGATCTCGTAGCTTTCAGCAGTCCTTCCTAGGCCCTTACTCTGCTCCAGGCATTCCGCCTTCTACTCCCATATCTCTCAAGGCAAAGCAGATCTATGATAATCCCAACTGAATTTTGGAGAGGGGTTGTTTGTATGGTAAACAACTACTGTTTCTTTTGGTCACTACATTTTCATTGTTTGGGCAGCGTATTTCACCCTTCCCTTCATGTATCATTTATTGAGCATAAAGTTTCAGAGGTCAGTAAGTTAGGGTTCCTGCCTATGAAGAGTTCTCAATGTAGTGAGTTTCCACAAATTACTGAAATAAAACCTGCCCATGCAAAAAGCACCAGATACATGTCAACTAGCACTGTGTGAAAGGCTCTTGTATAGTCTATCCTTGATGAGGCAACCAGATTTTTGTTTCACCAGAGAGGGATGGACTTTCCCTCGGTTTGATTGAAAACGAGCCCTCCTCACTGATACATCCTGATATCTCTGGACGCCCCCCCACACCCAGCCCCTTCACTTACTTAGACCCCAGGCAGTCTTCCATTCCTGTAGCACCCTCCGCAGGACCGCCAGTTTCCAAGCTGCATCTTCCTTCAGTGATTCTGCCTGCGTCTTCAGTTTCCTGCTCTTACTAGGCACATCCTCCCCACCCACCTGCAGCAGCGCATCCTTGGCCAGGGTGGGCAAACCAGTCCAGCGGAAGGCTCCTTTCACAGGCCTGCAAGCTGTACATTGAGACGGTATGAGATATTTTCACCCCACTGCCATAGGCCCTGTGTTCCCAGCTAGCATCACATTCCTATTCCTGACTAAGAGCAAGCCAAACAAAATTCTTGAGACCAAACGTTCCTGTGATTATATAAGGAACTGAGTACAAGGCCCATATGGAGTTATGAAAAGTCCTGACTACAGACATGATAAAGCCATGATGCTGGGCAAAAGAGATTGGGGGAGAAAAGCTGAGATATTTACAAACCTTTGTTTTTTTTTAGCTGAGCCATCCTGCCACCTGTTGGCAGCTCAGCGGCTGCTCATCTCGGGCCGGGACTCAAACCACTGTTGCTCAGAGCTCAAACTCTTGAGCAAGCTCTTAACTACAAACCTTTTTATAAGTTTAATAAATCCTTAGGAACATAAATATGTTTATATGTAACAGGGTTTGCTCATAAAATACAATATTTGATATATTACAATTTAAAGCAGAGTATAATTGGCCATTAATTCCTAATGTATTGTTTTGTTTTGTTT